GAGCCCAGGAGTTGGAGGTTGCTGTGAGCGTGATGCCATGGCACTCTACCCAGGGGGATAGCTTGAGGCTCTGTCTCAAAAAAAAAAAAGAAAAAAGAAAAAAGAAATAATAAAGGACATTTGAATGGGAAAAAAAAGAAAATAGGTAAATATTCTCGACTTTAGGTGGGCTATAGTATTTGTTGCAACTATTTTTATTTTGAGACAGAGTCCCACTCTGTTCCCCCGGATAGAGTACTATGGTGTCATAACTCACAGCAACCTCAAATTCCTGGGCTTAGAGCAAACTTCTTGCCTCAGCCTCCCAAGTGGCTGGGGCTATAGGTACTTGCCACAACACCTGGTTAATTTTTCTATTTTTAGTAGAGATGGGATATTGTTCTTGCTCAGGCTGGTTTGGAACTCCTGGGCTTAAGCAATCCACCCGCCTAGGCCTCCCAGAGTACTTGGATTATAGGCACAAACCACCTCACCCAGCCTATTGCAACACTTTAACTTTTGTCTTACTGCAAGACAGCAGCCACAGACCTCATATAAGTGAATGGCTGTGGCTGTGTGTCTTAAAACTTTATTGAAATAAATAATCTGGGGCAGTGCCTGTTGCTTAGTGGGTAGGGTGCTGGCCTCAAGAGTGAAGGTTTGAACCTGGCTCTGGCCAAACTGCAACAAAAAATAGCCGGGCATTGTGGTAGGCGGCTATGGTCCCAGCTACCTGGGAGTCTGAGGCAGGAGAATCGCCTAAGCCCAGGAGTTGGAGGTTGCTGTGAGCTGTGACACTACAGCACTCTACCAAGGGAGATAAAGTGAGACTCTGTCTCTAAAATAAATAGATAAATCAATCAATAAAAAATAAACAATCTGAACTGTTTTGGGTCAGGAACAGGACACGGTTTTCCAGACCCTGCTCTCATTCTTAAGCTGATTAGTGATTTCTTGGGTGTTAAATTAGTAATCATTATGTTTTATTAATGAGTACGTTTGTATATATCTCTATGAAAATGAACTCTCATATTAGTGTGCTAAGCAGATTCCTCCAGCTCACACATACCTGACCCTCCTCTCTTTCCCTCTCACAGTGACACGTTGTGAAGGACCCAACAAGTTCAAATGCCACAGTGGTGAATGTATAACCCTTGACAAAGTGTGCAACTCAGTACGGGATTGCCGGGATTGGTCGGATGAGCCCATCAAAGAGTGTGGTGAGCCTCAGGGTGCAGAATGGGACCAACGTGATTGAATTGAGGCTTTGGGGACTACTCCTCACCCCGCCTCCCCCCCCCCCCACTGACCTCATTGAGCGGAGGATATTTGGGCTCTGGTACAAGACTGATGTGGAGAGGGTTTGGGGATAAGTGGCTTTGCTTCAGTGTTCACATCCACATAGGAAGGTAGTCTTGCACACATTATAGAGCTATTGGGAGGCTGGGAGGCTGATAAATTGTTTGCTGAATGCTGTGACCCATAGCAGTGACAATTTAAGAGGTATTTTGTTTGGAGGCTTCCTCTTAAGAAAAACAAATTCTAAGATATGTGAATTCTTTTTCTTGGGTTCCTATTTCCTCTTCTGAGAGGTTTTTTTCATTTTAGTCAGGCTGCCATGGGGTGGGTAGTTAAGACCTTATTAGGAATAATTGTATAGTACAGAGGTGGGCTGTGAATTTTCTCTATCAAGAATAAGAGAAGGCTCGGCGCCTGTGGCTCAAGCGGCTAAGGCGCC